GCCATGTGGGAACCAGCTCGTGCCCACGGGCCGTTCACCCCCACCCCCACCCTCGACGTGCTGTGGAGGCAGGCACACCCAGATGGGCCGGAGGGGCGACGCTCCCTCCAACCGCGCACACTTGTCCCCCTGCGCTCCCGAGCTGTGGCCCCGCGTGGGGGGCAAGAGGGGGAGGGGCGTCGCCGCCCCGCAGTCGCGTTGCTGGGGAGCGCAACCCTGTTGCTGTGGCAACCGTTTCCAAGCGAACTGTGGCGGCTCGCGCCCGGCTCTGGCTCCCTAGCTCGCTGGCGCTCTCCCTCCCTCCGGTGTGGGCTGGGGGAGGGGCTGCCCGAGGCCCGGGCTGGGGGTCCGAGGCGGCGACCCTGGGCCAGGGCGCAGAGTCGCCCGCGGGGAAATGCTCAGTCGTGGGACCATCTTCTGCCCACGCTCCGTGCCCGCCCGGCCCGCAGCCGCCGAGATACTCACGGGCCCAGGCATCCTTCTCTAGCTCGTCTTCCTGGCTTTGGGCGAGCGGCGCAGGCCCAGCGGACAGAACCCCGGCCTCGGGGAGGCTGCGGCCGAGGCCCCAGGGAGCAGACAGTGGCAGCGAAAGCGGCTCTGAGCGCCGGGATAGAGGCGCGGGGCGCGCGCACGGGCGCGTACACGACGCGGGGCGAGCCCGGCGTGCGCGCGCGCGGCAGCCAGCAAAAGGTCCCCCCCACCCCCAGCCAAACGCCGCCTAAGAGGCTGCCCCAGGAAGGAAGGAGGCGAAGGATGAGGCACGCACCTGCCGAGCTGAGACCCAGCACTCAAGGGCGCTGGGCTTACACCGAGGGCACCTGCGTATGGAATGCACACCATGACACTCAGCTCTTGGCGACAGGCTGCCTGGCTGGGCCCATGGGGCTGATATGTGGTGCACGGATCAGCCAAGCAGCCGAGGTCTGAAACCTCGACGTTGCACACAGCTCAGCCTGAAGAGAGCACACACGTCCAGACTTCAGCCTCGCCCGACAGGCACTGCATACACACAGAGGGCAGGGGCTGAAGCAGGGAGTATGCAAGCACCCCTGTGTGCCCAAATCACAGCGCCTCTCAGTGTGTCTCCAGCAGGCATGCTGGGAAGGAGCACAGGGAGGAGGACCTAATGCTGAATGCAAAACCTTTGCCTCCATGCTTCCCTGAGGGGACAGAGATGACTCCTAGTGAGGACCTTGCTGTCTACTCTGAGGTCCAGGCTTACAGAGGCCACTCTGAACCTGGCTATCTGCCTTTTTCACCACCATATGAGCTGGGACATTGGGGTTGCAAGTGACAGAACTCCAAATAGGCTTGAGTTCAAAGGGAATTGGCTCATGTAACTGGCAAATCCTGGGGTAGATTCTAGCTTTGGTCACAATTGGTTTCGGGTGTTCTGGCATCAAGCATGTTATCTGCTTCTTTCCACTTTGCTTCTGGGCTTGCATCATTCTCAGGCAAGTTCTCCCCAAATGGTGATGTGAATGCCCTCAATGCTCTAGGCTCATATACTGCCATTCATCCCCAGAGAAAAAGAACCCCAATTCTTTTCTCAATAGCTTGAGCAAAATACAAACCAAAAAACCTAGAAATGACTCTTCTTACACCCTTGGCTGAGGGTCCATTGATGAACTAATCCAAATGGTCATAACTTGGGGGGAAAGGAATGTGTCCCATATGGCCAAAGTGGATGGCCATCCAGTATCCATTTCCTTTTCTTTGAATACAAGCCCTCTGATTTCATTGAAGAAATTACTGCCCTTGTGGGTGCCAGCATGGTGGACCTGTGAACCCCAAAGCCCTTCTTCCCTATGTACAGGGAGCAGGCTTCAACCTGGCCATTCTGGCTACTTGGGTTTGGAGTCAAACTCTAAAATGCAAAAACATAAATGGCTGTAGCATCTTGCTTCTGGTGGTCATGCCCTGATCAGTTCGGGACCTACCAACTGAGATCCCAAATCTGCCCCGCATCCTAACACTAAGTTAGCTGGACAGTTCTGTCACTTGCAACCTTCCTACCTGGCCCAGACATTCTAGGTGTGCGTGGTGTATGTATGCTCAAGCAGGGGGTATAAGCCTAACCCCATGGACAGAGAATGGGTGGCTCCCCAAAGGAAACTTGGGGTGCCACAGCTTTTAATGTGGGCTGCTGCCAGGCATGGTGGTGCATACCTATAATCCCAGCTACTCAGGATGTTAAGGTGGAAAGACAATTTATGCCCAGAAGTTTAGACTAGTCTGGGCAACATAGTGAGACCCCCATCTCAACTTTTTTTTTTTTTTTTTT